CATTGCGTAGGGGTTTTGGCCATAGCCTCCAGCGTTTGCAACCAGGTGTGCTTGGGGTCCTTTACGTCTCAACCCGGGATTTGGGAACGTCCGACAACAGCCACCTTTAAGGTTTGCGTCTTAACGCATTGGGTTCAAGTTTTACATTGCCCTCGTTTTTGTCGCTTCAAAGCCATGCCTGTGCTCGCGAATTGGGCTCGTCGTGGTAGCCGCTGGGTAAGCAGGCGAAGCACAAGGCCATGCCAACAAAGTCTCCGCAGTAAGATGATGCTATCAATCGATCGGAGGAGTTCGGTAGATATAGAGACACGCTGACGGATTTCTTCGTTACTGACGTGATGCTGCCATCGCACACTAGCAATGCTTCACAGCCAGCGGTGATCAACGGCAGATAGCCGCTGAACAGCGCTTTTGCGAACGGGCCAAGTCTCACAGCCGTACAGTAGAATCGCTCCTGCCGTAGCATCATAAACTCATCCCTTGAGAGCGCGGTTGTGATCACAACGAAGCCACAGGTGACGGAGTTTATCGAAAGCAACTATCCTTGAAGACACGCAGGGAGATCTCATCTGTCAAAAAGCCAATGCTAATAAGTAAATAAATCAATAAATATTTTATTCTCGACTATGCCAGACACGCCCATGGAGGCATGATCAGATATGTACAACCGTACAAACATTTTGTGGCAACTGTAACAGTGAGAGTAGAAAATCGTTCATATGTCCATGACGGGAACAGTACAATAAGTAAATAAATAAATAAATAGTTTATTCTCAGTTTCATAGACACACCAACTCAGGCATGATCAGGGTTTGAAAACAGATGTGTATCACGACGATACATCGGGTTCAATCGTGTGTAGTTGAAACGGTGTCGGGAAGAGTTGATGTGTGAGTCTAGTCGACTTGCCAGTATGTAGTTGTGGGCAGTGACGTTATTCAGTGGCCAGTCACATCCGCCAAGTCGCAGTGTCGTTAAACAAACATTTGTGGCTTTTTATAAGGAGTACGCTTGCCAGGCGAAAACCCACCACGTGAGGCATTTTGAACATTAATGTTGAACCTGCAAAGCCGCTTGACGACTGGTTTTACCTTCGGTTTTTCGCAGATTAATGGCTTCTAATTTCCTCTGTTATCTGGACAGGTAATATGATCGGGGTCGCCATGATCTTTGAGGTCGATGGAGGAGAGGGACATCGCGATTATTCATCTTGTTGTATGTCCAGGTGAGCAAAAGTTCAACTTTTTCGCTGTCCAGATTTTTCAGAGGTATATTGTTTGGGAGTATGAGGATATGTCCAGTTCTCCATACTGGACAAGGGTTATGGTGATTGTAGTTCGGTCCTTTCGGAGTTCTTTCATGCTCCATGTAAGTCCTTGTGGGTTGTTACGTCCGTCTTGGGAAAAAACTGTTCCTCAGTCCAATCCCAGATCTCCAAGAAGTCCCGGACCTTGGAGGAAAGGGAAAGTGAGGGACAACCGAGAGAAGACCGCAAGAACAGGCATGGAGTTGAACATTGTTAATGTCTTGTGTTACAACCTTTGGGCTTGAGACAAAAGCATGTACACTGTGCAACAATAATTATGCTGAAAATGTCTTTTGAATATCCTATAGAATCATTAGCCGTATGGGTGGATTGCTAACGCCTGCGGAGAGACAAGAGCGTTGTCCCAGTAAGTAAAGTACGAAGTATCCGTTTGGTATGAGCCAATAATTGCGTGGGGATAGTGCAAAGAGAGTTGGAATATTGGTAGTGATTGTCAGGTGCATGAACAGCACGTAGTTAGCGTAATCCGAGAGGGAGGGCATAATAAGCGAAAAGTAATAGGTTGCCGCGAGAGAGTCCTAAAGATCGATTAGTGGCAGGGCAGCGGAAGGATTGGATGCAGATATTCTAAAGGAATAAAGGTTATTGAGATAATGAGTGGCTCCAAACAAGCACTCGATCATCGCATATGCATGGAGCCAATGGCCACTGGCTACTTCTGAACAGAGATGCCGAATTTACGATGACCGACAGATGGCGGCGCTAGGAGAGAATCGGTGGCCAGATGTAGCCATTCCAATCAGACGCTTGGTCAATAGTGTATGCCTACAGGGTCGCGGAGTGTATCAACAGGTCAGTGAAGGTAAGTGATAGGTCAACAGACCAGCTGAGCTGTGACGCAAACAAACAGAGATAATGAATTTTGTAAGAAGTGAGCGAGCTACGGATATCCGCAAAGTTAAATGGAAGCTATGGTGACAAGCTGCTGCTAAGCAGAGATAGAAACTCTAGCAAAGAATGTATCAGTGGCTGGTGTAGCCATATCATTAGGCCGTTTGATCACTACTGGATACTTACAGTTTCGATGAAGAAAGCAACACGCGAGCGAAGTTTAGGGAGACATACGTCAGAGGAAAATGAAGGCTGGAGAGTCAGAGAGTGGCTCCTTGCAAGCTACATGGAGCCAACAATGACTAGCTGCTAGCAAGATGTGTTGATGCGAGTAGGACGAACGACAAATAACGCCGCGCTAGGAGAGAAAACAGTGACCAGCAATAAAGTTGGATTAAGCTTTCAGTTACTAGTGTATCCTACGGTGGCGCATAATAGGTCAACAAACCAGCTGAGCTGTGAAGCAAACAATACAAGAAAATGAATATTGTAAAAAAGAAACCACTCCTACTGAGCTCCGGATATCCGCAAAGTTAAATGGAAGCTATGTCGACTAGCTACTGCTAAGCAGAGATAGTGGCTCTAGAGAAGTATATGTCAGTGGCTGGTGAAGCCATGTCATTAAGACGTTTGACCACTACTGGATACCTACAGTTTCGATGAAGAAATCGACATGCGGGCGAAGATTACAAAAAGAGACGGCAGTGGAAAATGAAGGCTAGAGAGTCAAAAAGTGGCTCCTTGCAAGCTACATGGAGCCAACAAAGACTGGCTACTGCCAAGAGAAGCTAACGCAAATAAGATGCACGACGGATAACGGCGTGCTAGGAGAAAGATGAATGGCCAGCAATAGAGTTTGGATTAAGCCTTCAGTTACTAGTGGATCCTACAGCGGCACATAACTGGTCAACAATCCAGTTGAGCTGTGACGCAAACAATCCAAGGGAAAGAACATTGTATAAAAACGAGCGACTCCTACTGAGCTCCGGATATCCGCAAAGTTAAATGGAAGCTATGTCGACTAGCTACTGCTAAGCAGAGATAGTGGCTCTAGAGAAGCATGTGTCAGTGGCTGGTTAGCCATGTCATTAAGACGTTTGACCACTATTGGACACCTACAGTTTGGATGAGGAAGTCAACATGCGAGCAAAGCTTAGAGAGACAGACGGCAGAAGAAAAGAAGGCTGTATGGTCATGAAGTGTCTCCGTGCAACCTACGATAGCCGACAGTGACTAGCTATTGCCAGGAGGAGTTGACGCGAGCAAGATGCACGACAGATAACGGCGCGCTAGGAGAAAGATGAATGGCCAGCTATGGAGTTCGGATTAAACCTTCAGTTACTAGTGGATCCTACGGTGGCACATAATAGGTGAACAAACCATCTGAGCTGTGCCGCAAACAATCAGAGAGTATGAACATTGTAAGAAGGGAGCGAGCTCCGGATATCCGCAAAGTTAAATGGAAGCTATGGCAACTAGCTGCTGCTAAGCAGAGATAGTGGCTCTAGAATATATTGTATCAGTGGCTGGTGTAGAAATATCATTAAGACGTTTGAATTCTATTGGATACCTACATTTTCTATGCAGAAATCAACAAGCGAGCGAAGCTTAGAGAAAAAGACGGCAGTGGAAAATGAAGGTTAGAGAATCAGGGAGTGGCTCCTTACAAGCTACATGGAGCCAACAATGACCAGCTGCTGTCAAGAGGAGTTGGTGCGAGCAGGACGTACAACACATAACGGCTCGCTAGGAGAGAGAAGAGTGACCAGCAAAAGAGTTCGGATTAAGCTTTCAGTTACTAGTGGATCCTACAGCGGCACATAATAGGTAAACAAACCAGCTGAGCTTTGACGCAAACAATCCAAAGGAAAGAACATTGCAAAATAGGAGCGACTCCTACTGAGCTCCGGATATCCGCAAATTTAAATGGAAGCTATGTCGACTAGTTGCTGCTAAGCAGAGATAGTGGCTCTAGAGGAGTATGTGGCAGTGGCTGGTGTAGCCATGTCATTAAGACGTTTGACCACTACTGGATACCTACAGTTTCGATGAAGAAACCGACATGCGGGCGAAGATTAGAGAGACAGACCTCAGAGGAAATTGAAGGCTGGAAAGTCAAGGGGTGGCTCCTTGCAAGCTACATGGAGCCAGCAATGACTAGCTGCTGCCAAGAGAAGTTGATGCCAATAGGATGAACGACGGATGACGGCGCGCTAGGGTAGAGATGAGGAGTCGGGAAGAGGATAGTGTGGGAAGGTAAGAAGAGGCGATTTTAAGTTGAAATAAATGAGAATATCTGTAGCTCGGGGTGTGGATGCGGATTTTGAGCAGTTCTCCGAGCTGGATAATTATTTTGCAGACGTTTCGTTGCCTGACTAGGCAACATCATCAGTGCGGCTTCAGGGGCCTGGTTCGAAGGCACTTCGAACCAGGCCCCTGAAGCCGCACTGATGATGTTGCCTAGTCAGGCAACGAAACGTCTGCAAAATAATTATCCAGCTCGGAGAACTGCTCAAAATCCGCGATTTTAAGTTGTCTGGTGCAGTTTCAAAGAACTCTTCTACAGGACAGTTGACATTCAGTAGTTTGGAAACTTGTGTGACAGAGAGATATTTGCTAATGGAGAAGCGGAACTGGTTTATATTCATAGATGCCCTTATTGTGAGAGGTAACCTATTCCATACGTGTGCGGATCTGTAGGGGTAGAAGTTGGAGCGAATGCTGCTGCGCGTTCTTGGTAGGATAATGGAGTGGGGTCTATCACGTAGGGGGTACGAAATGATATGGGAGTCTGAGACTGGGGTTAGCTGGATCCCACTGATATTGTTAATGAGCGAGTATAGGAAAGCGAGGTTGGTTTTTAATCGGCGCAGCCATAACGGTTCTAGCTTAAGTGTGTTGCACCGATCACGGTAGCTTAGGCTTGAGTGCCGCAGGATGGGTTTTGTGAAGGTACACTGAACCTTTTCGAGGGCCATTCCGTCGCATTTTCTAAGGTTGGTGAATACTATAGAGCAGTATTCTAGCAGAGGCGGGGCACAAGTTTTGTAGAGCACTGTTCTAGATTCCTGTATTGTCATGGCTTTGAGGAGGTATCCGATGAGAGAGCGTGCCTTAGCTGCGGGATAAACTACTTGTTCCGCGAAGTTCAGCGAACAGGAGTAGCGCACGCCTACGTCACGCACTGTTAGGCAGTTCCCTTATGGCGTGCCTTGCAGCATTAAGGTATTGGGAGGCATGGTGCATCGGTACGTAAAGACATTGCATTTTGATGGTGTGAATGCCAACTTCCATATGTCGCACCATGCAGTTAGCGCTCTTAAGTCGTACTGTATATGGGAGGTGGCGTTGTGGAAGTTTGACGGATGAAATAGGAAGACAATTTTGATATCGTTCGCAAATAGGTAGGGTGTCCCATGTTTGAAAACCTGGAACACGTCATTGATATAGAGCAGGAAAAGTAGAGGGCCTAAAAGGCTACCTTGTATTACGCCACTTTTGACTGGTTTAGGAAGTGACATAAATTCCCCAACCATTACTGACTGTGAGCGAGCTGCAAGATATGATGAGAACCAAGTGTGCAGTTTGCCGGAGATACCGTATGATTCCAGCTTCATCAAGAGTTCTGTATGTGGTACTCTGTCAAAGGCTTTCGTCATGTCTAGGAAGATGATGGCTAGTGCTTGCTTGTTGTCAATCAGTTGAGTTACATGGTTGAGGAATTCAAATTGGCAGGTCTGACAGGATTTAGACGGCAGAAATCCATGTTGTTGTCGATTGATGAGGTTGCGAGTAAGCAGGAAGGTGAGCATGGTTTCTTTAACTATTCGTTCCATTATTCTTGAAGCTATAGGCGTGTGGCTGATGGGGCGATAGTTTTCCATGTTCTTCTGACTGCCTTTTTTGTGTTTAGGGATGACGATGGCATGTTTCCATGTGGTTGGATAAATCCCGTTAGTAATGGAAAGCGTAAATAGGTTGAGAAGTAGGGCTGGAATGTTCTTGCCACCGAGTATCAGCAACGCAGATGGAAGACCATCGGGACCAGGAGGTGATGCGCATTTGACTGAGCTGATTACTCGGGTGATAGAACGCATGTCCAACTTAATAGTGTCGAGTGAGTCATTGGTGCGCCTAGATGACAAAGCAGGCGCAGTTCCATTAGCGTCAGCGAAAGAATTGCAGAGGTATCCATTGAGGGTCACACATGTATTTGTTGGGTCGCTAATAATGGAAGTGTCAGGAAGCCTGAGTGAGGCAACAGGCGTAGATTTTGGTTGCTTCTTTGTCGGAGTAGTTGCCGGAGTGACTTGGTTTTATTGCTAGATTTGAGGGCGGCATCTCCTTCAGCAATCTTGGCTGCTTCCTGCGCAATTTGTCAGTTGGATAGGATTTCATTCATGCGAACAAGGATGTGAAATTCCTTAGTTCTGGAGTATCGCTGTCGCATTTTTTGATCTTCCTAAGTTTACCGTATGCCTTTGCTGATTTCGCTGTCATCTTTAGGCGGCTTCTGCAAGTGAGTGGGGCGAGCACATCTAGGCAGCTGAAGAGATTAAATATAGGACGTGTGCGGCTGCGTCTACATCGGTAGCTAAAAAGTTGTCCCAGTTGGTAGATCGCACTAATATCTCAATGCTGTCCCAGTTAATGTGGTTGAACATTCGAAACGTTTTGACAGAAGAAGAAGTGGCGCAGTGTGGAGTAGAAAGTGTAAATATGAGTTTGACCCCCTTGTGGTCGCAGCCATTTATATTATCTAATATACCAGCAACTGCATCAGAGACACCTAGCGTAAAGATTAATTTTAGGGTGTTAGAAAGCCTGGTGTGGTCGTGAACATGTTGGGTCCAGTTATTTGCGTGGACGGTGTGGACGAAACTTCTGTATCTGAGTGGGGCAACCTGGTCGTTCCAGGGGATAAGCGGCAACTCCCAAGATAAATGAATTTGTCGATCACTTCCAACGGATACCCCGAAAGGTTAAGAGAAGGACATGCGTTCGACTATTTACCTGGACCGTTTTGCTAATTTGGTCAGTTCATCTTCACTTCATGTTATTCTGTTAGTATTGCAACTCCGCAATTTGATTAGATCATGCTTAGTGCTAACCAACATACGCTTGCATTTAGCCTCCACAGCGCTCTCCCCACCGAGGATATCGATGCTACGCCGTGGAAGCAGCAACTTCAGGCGAACTTTATCGTCTACTGTTTGCGAGTGAACTCGAGAAGTTTGCTTCCCTTCTCTTTTTTATCGCCGACAGTGTAGTCATGTCTCCCGAAAAAATCACCCGCACAGTACTCACATACGGGCCATAATACCCACGGTCTAAAGCTTGAGGGGTGTTAGAAGGCAATTTATGGCCGCAAGTTGGTCTTTCTTCCGGGGTGCAACCATGCAAGGCAATTAAGTAAGAGGATATAATTTGGCGCTGCATCCAGCTCCTTGTCACAGCACGCCAGAGTAAGAAGCACGCTAACGTGTTTAGCAATTTCGGCGATAAAATCTTTCTGACTTATATTAACAGCTGTTACCCCTGAATCTTTTGTATCTTGTGCCACTTGATACCGACCTTTAGTATAATTTGACAATGCACCTGCCCGGTTAAGTAGGAGATCGTGATAAATTGGGTTTTTGAACTCAACCAGAATAGGCCTTGCAAATCCCTTCTGACACAACACTTCCATTTCACCCCATCGGCTGACCCTGTGGACCGTTTTATACCCACATGCGGCGATACCCCAAAAAGGCAAAGGATAGCCTGCACACGTCTTCTATCTAGATCGTATCTAACCTTAGACTCACGTAAGATCGGCTTCTCCTGGTTATATATACGCACATTTCTCTGACCGCCCAATGCGATTTCCGCACCACGCTTATGGTTCATATAGTATGACTGCATTTCATCAATGCGTACTTTTAGTGCAGCAATCGTGTCAGACGTGGCGCGCGGGTGAAATTTTTCACGCAAAGCTAAAATTGCCATTTTTCAACCAAACTAGGTAACATTTCTTTTTGGAGAAGCTCTTCGTAGGCAACAAACTTTGTTAACGATTAATAAATACCTGTGTTGTATATTAACCGAATCATACCGAAAGTCAACGGCTACCGATAGAGCGCATCTTTGCTGACGTATCTCCATCCCTTGATGCCACTATTCCATAAGCTTCTACCCTCGCAATATTTCCAACTATGCCTTTAGATCAGTGTGTGACATGTCGAGCACCCGTTCTGGACAAACACCCAGCCATGCAGTGCGATAAGTGCACGAAGTGGGGGCACGTACATTGCGCGTCAGTGAGCACGGCTTTGTACAGAGCCATAAAAAATTACTCGTGTGACTACATCCTGGTTCTTTGCCTTATATGTAGTTGTGCAAGACAGCATGTTTCCGCGGGTTCCGGTTTATTGACAGCTGGCAACGAAGCTGCTGCGAAACGGGCCTCTTCTCTCCCAGATATCCGAGCATTCAAAAAGTGACGAGTCACACGGTCAGCACAGTTTGCGACAATGCGTGCTGCCATTGCAACTCTCATATAAATAAACAATAAATAAATAAATAAACTTTTATTCTCGACAATGCGAGGCACACCTGTACAGGCATGATCATGTTTAGCTAACATAGTGTGATCAAAATGTACAAAGAGTACATGTTTGGCATAACAGTGAATGTAAGTGTATGGGTGTATACATGTATGCAATTGTCTATGAATGTAGCTTGTATTTTTGAATATGCCGCAGAATGTTTGACTGTTTGTATTCGATAAGAATGTGAGAATAAGCGATTGACGTCCGTGGGTTGGATACCATTTTTCGGATGTCCACGGGCCAGTGACTTTATTTTGTGGCGAGTCACATCCGCCACGTCACCGTGTTGATAAGCAGACATTTGTGGCTTTATATAGGGAGAACGCTTGTCGGGAGAAAACTCACCACGTCCTGGAACACTGCCGCCGAACTATTTTCTGAAACGGGTTAAACCCGAACCACACAGCTGGCACCACGAGGAGGTTGTTCGGCTAGCCAGCCCACAGTCAGTTGCATCACCAGATAAAGCAGCCACTACCGGAACCCACCAGACAGTGTGGATAGGCCCCCGCACGGGAAAGCCCCGCAAGCCAAGAAGTGAACCACTGTTGTCCCAGCCTCAAATGACAAACCCTGATGCTGGATAAAGGAGACCTATCAA